CCGTATAAATACACTAGATAAGGGAGAAACAATTTTCAACAGATCCATATGTACAACAGCCCTCTGCGCACGCTGTGATCGTACGTTTGGGAAAAAGCTTGCAAACTGTTTCTGTATTACGCGAATAAATATGTACATACATCGTTTATCTCCCTGGCACCATTCCATGGTTTCCATCTCATATATGTCGTTTTCGAACGTTCCAGGGTCGTCTAAAATATCGATGCTAATTCTGTGATCACTACGAGGATAACTCTTGTTGTGTCACAGGAATCCACGTGAACGCAAAATGATTGATTGGAACTTGTCGAACGAACGATGTGACACTCCTTAATTTTCAAGAATATTTCACGTTGCAGATGAGATCTTTTTGATGAAAAATTATTAAATGGACGTCTGCGACAAGACGGTTTTTAAGAAGTCAGCGTTTATTAAGGCAAAATCCTCGATGTCGGATTGTCACAGTTTGTCATCGTCGTTTCTCTATAGAGAAACGTTTATTCTCAGTATCAATCTACCCACGAGCTAAATTGTACGTTTTACTATTATTTCTTAATTGACAGCTGATTAATATAGGATGACATCGTGAGCGACGCGGGTCTGATCCTCTTGGTAATTTTTTTTTGGCGGAAGACGAACGAAGAAAAATCAGACCCGAGTCCTTCATATTAATTTATCCAGTATTCGCCATTGGTCGATCTTTCGTCCTCATTGGAATCACCTGTTGTCCTTTATTGTGCTCGTTGCGTTTAATTTTAATATTTTAGTAACTGTATTTATAGTTAGCAAGATTATATACTCGGCAATAATTCACTATTATTGAAAGATATTATATAAAATCTTGTACGAGAGATTGTATAAGAGGTTTTATATATAAACTGGAACTAGGCGTTAGCTGCAAAATGTCCACGAATGGCCCGTTTAATAATTAATTCTCCTTCGATTATTACAAACTAATTGTCGTTGGATAATCATTTAACTTTGTGAAACGTGCATTTTTAGGAAAAGCATGTCTACGATTCTAAATTGGATATGCATCTTGTTTTAATATGGAGTAGTAATTAACATTTAGAGACGAACACGAAAAGAGGTCGTCGGTCAATCCCAGAGTAAAACTAGTATTTCATTTGTGCCTTTCCGTTCCGCGTTATAACATTATTGTACGAGGAATATTGATTATTACTGACGTTGCGAACGATCGATCAAATCGAGCGAACGTTGGTTTTTGGTGGTCCAGGCTGATCCCCTGTTTATTCGATCTTGTTGATGATTTCAACTTCATTTACTTCGTCGGCTTTCATGTCTTTGTCGCCCCAGCCCCATCTCGCTTCCTCGATATTGTGATGATCCCACGTACCATCCCCGGTCCTGCCCGACCGTTTCTTGATAACATCGGTGGGAACGGTTTTCATATCGTACGCCAATCCGAATCGAGCACACGTATCGAGGAACAATGTGGTCCAGTTCATTTTGTAGAAGCCCAATTCACCCGCTTTATAATCCCATGGGAACACGTGGTGGTAGTTGTGCCATCCCTCCCCCGCTGTTAGTATAGCGACCCACTTGTTCTCCACGGGGCTGATGCTCCTGGGGAAACAATACCAAATTCCAATTTTTATCTTACAACCTAGAAGAACGATATAAAGAGAGAAATGGGATTACTTACTTGTCGTAAGGCTTCATTCCCCAGATGTGCGCGGCCGAGTTTACTAGCCACGTAAAGTTCAAGCTTATAGCGTATCTCATCATGGTTACGTACCAAGAATTGAGCGGCTTCTCGTTCCAGAAGTAACAAGGCACCCACATCGGTATGATAAAAGTGCACAGCGGCATCAAGAGCAGATACAATCTGGAAATGAAGCGATAATTCCAAAAATGAGATGCTGCTGATAACTTCAACGTTAAACGATAATCTCTAAAATGAAATTATAAAAATATTAGGACTTCTGGTTCTTGAACAAAAATTATGTATGTATAGGACGTTTGCAGGTCCATCTACGAACTAACAATACCATAATATGCTCTTACTTTCTCTACTTATTTTAATAGTAAGACAAATGTAAAAATCAGATGGAACATCCTGTATATTAAAACGTATATGTGATATTTAGAATGTATATTTGCTCGTTCACCTCTTTTGCCAAACGACGATTGGATCATTTTCCAAATCACTCATGTCGACAGTCTTGCCTTTGTTCATCACGTCCGGATGCTTTCGGACGAGTAACCAGCCCATGTGGGAGAAGAAGAATCCTCGTTTCGCGTTGTGAGGGTCAGCGTCAGTGTCCGTGAACTTGTGATGCACTCTATGATCTCTTACCCACTCGTAGATGTGATTCTAATAATCGGGGATAACGTGAAAGCAACGGTGAATTGCAAAGGCCGCGAGCGTTGAAAGCTGGTACTCACTTGGAAGGCAATCGTTTGGCAGATCATCAGGAAGAACCGTAACGGCCACCTCGCCTTGTACGCTCTATGGGCCCACAATCTGTGGGCTCCAGCTGTGATGCCCAACGCGGATATTACCATTATAGCCATCGCTAAAAAATATTTTAGTCAATATGAGTAATGACTTTAGAGAAATTATTACATCCATGTGCTTAGATGTTAACAATTTTAGTTTTGTAACGTTTTTTTAAGAATTTAACAATTGCTATGAGAATTTCACTCAATTCAATTAATTTATTTATTGTTAAAAAATTTTAATTTACTTATTATTAATTTATACTCTATCTACTCTATAATCATTGTGGTTGCTAATCATTTTTCTAATTGATGAAACCTTAATAATCTAATAATAATAATAATGATAATGAAGTTTTTAAGATTGTTTTAGATAAAAGTTACACGTATTCTAAATATTATTGATAACAAGGTTGAAAAAATCCGAGAGGGAAATGTGGGTTTCGATCTTTTAAACGGATAATTGAATTCTCCATTCAACTGTCAATGCATGTGAGATACGTCTGAGATTTCTACCCGTGAGGAAAGCGGAGTGTCTTTGATGATTAACCTGTGGAACACATGCACCGTGGCGGAGGATTGAACTTTGATCCTGAATAGACGATCATCCGGCCGGCCGCGTATCGAAAACGATGCCGCGCGTTTTACGATTTCTACCATCAGCTTTTTTCACCGTCGCGTTCGACCCAGTTACGAGTCGCTGACATTAATAACCATAATCGTATCGCACGCGAACAGCCGTCGGTGTGAAAGAGAGGAGGACCGAGTGGTGAATCGCGGATGATCGTCACTTTCGAAACTGTACATGATGCAGAGGTACATGATGTACAACGTCAGTGCTAGTACGGGACTTATTGTTTTTTTTATACAAATAGGAAAGTCGTCGTAGTATGATTTAATGGTTGGATTTGTATATTTTTTCATGAATGACATGATCATTTTCCCATTTAACATAAGAATTCAGGATTTGATTACTTTTTTTAATAGCATCACAAAATTTCTACAATTTTTCAATACCTTTTTTACTAAACAATGGATTTTATGCATTTATGAGAAAGTGTAATTTGCATAAATTATGAACGCTACGTCTATGCAGAATACCATCAAGTATATTACAATATTCTAATGACAAAATGAATATTTATCTGAAATATACGTATCTATTATACGATTATCATAAATATTTCATTTTGCATGAACATCCTCTGTCTATATATTATTAACGTCATATCTAATAATTGTTAAAATTTTCATGCTTTGTCATCGTCTTTACTTAGGGACTGATACAATTTTAAAGCGTTAATTATTAAATCTATAAAATGATTCTTAAAATGGACTTACACCATGCGAAGGTGTAGAAACGAGTTCCGTTAAAGAGAAGATAGAATCCATAAACCGCTGCGGTGTGGACGTACAAGAATGCAAATACGTTTCTCCAAACGATTTGCCATTGGTACTTCGGTTTGGACGAGGATGATTTTTGGACTGACGACGTTTGGTTACTTTCCTTCTCCGCAGTCGACTTCCCTTGATGTACGTTCTGTTGCGAGGCCTCTAAGAACAGAGTCGCCGATGTACCGAATAGGTTCGGCGCCATTTTTTACAGTAATCTATAACAAATAATCGATGCATTCCCATTAATCAATCAGTTAAGAGGAAATAAAGACATAAATCCATATTTTTGGCTAATTAACAGGATAACATTGACCTTCCACTATTATCGGAGTCACGAGTTTTACATGCGTTAATAAAATAGAATAAAAATGTTTCTCAATTCTATCTCTTCAATCCTACGTAACGAGCGAAGGGATATCAATGATTGGCCGTGAAAGGCCCATGACTGGTTACGTTTAGAAGACGTCTTCGCGATCGGGACCCAGTGACCTAGTAACAAATAACTTTCAGCAAACGCAAAATCGGCCGTTCCACTTGTGGCTTCTCGTTTTTCGACGCGCGAAAGTTCTCGATTGATCATACGTCCCGTTCCCGTGGCCTTTTGTACTTCGAAAACACGTGCCGTTCGAGATACGCACAGCTTTCGAACCGACAGTTTCCTCTCGCTGTGAAGATGAATTTCTTTCAGCGAAATTTCTGTCCTATTAGAAAAACTCCTTTCTGATCATCTTTGTGATCCTTAAGTTCTTCCCTCGACTCGAACAGACTTATTATTATACAGTTCAAAACAGAAAAAATATTTGTCATTTTTTGTAACATCCACCATGTGATTCTCGATTTTCTCATGGCAAAACAAATTCAGAAGAAGAATTGCTCTATCACGTTGCAGAAGAATTTTGTATTGTACAGTGTTAACGATAATTGTTCAGCATCATTTGAGTTTTCTAGAAGAGGATGACTACTGATTTTAAGTAGCCACTAGGATTAGTAATTTTGGTCAAGGGTCGTAAAGTAGAATAATAAATTGGAAATTTAAATTGCAAAGATATGATAATTAAAGTATTTTTACGTAAGTACAAAAATAGTACGTGTTAAATACTCGCGTCAGCTTTTTCTCAAATTTTATCGATTATTTACGACTGTTAAAAGTATGAAAACAGAAAGTGAGCCTCTTGTATCTGTTGATTAAAAAATGAACTTTCTCGCGGTCTCAGGACATGTTTGCAGAATTTTTTATTGAACAAAGTTATCAGTAAAGAGAATTATTATACTGATTATTATAAATTTTTTATTGCATATATGACAATATGTGTTAAATTTACAATTGCAAAATAAATTCACAAAACTAGTAAAAGCTCTTTTCTCGTAGCACATAAGTATAAACCATTAAAAATAAATTTCGTCAGGGTCGATAAGACGTTTAATGATTTTTAAAGAGTCAATAATCCAAAAGGTTTGGCAACCTGTAATGCAAAATAACTACTTGACGTAATACAAGAGTCAGCTAATCAGGATTTCACTGGACTAGGAAGATGTAGTAAGGATAAATATTCCATAGGTATGGAAATTATACATAAATCATTCCTGTCTCTAGATTCATTTTTCACATAAGAAACTTCATTAGAATCACGTAATGGATATTACAAAAAAATTGTGTATTGCACAGTGTTGTTTGTTGAGGATTTATGTTATTGATTAGCCGTCGAGACCTTGCACCTCCTAGTAAAAGTGTTCCTCGTTAGGATTCGAAACGCGGAGACAGGGAACGGTACGCGCTGCGCGTACGCGAGAGGAGAAAGGAGCCCGAGAAGAGATAAGAAAGAGGGGATGCGAGAACTAGGAAGAAGCGAAGATTCGTGCTGGAGAACAGGTTCCTCGTAAAAGAGGTCAATGACGCGTTTGAGGTCATTACCAATTAATCACCACGCTCTATTCTGTCTATTCGCTTGTTTTCTCTACGCATCGTCCCGCCACGACATCCACTATCCGCGAGTAGTATGATAATGTGACCGGGAGAAGAAAGGAGAAGACGCTTTCGACTGAGGAACGCTAGTATCGAGATCACCGTCGATGACGTGCAACGTGAAACCTCTTTAGTCGGAAACTGTTCTTTTACCTGGTTAAATATACCAACAGAAAATGGCTGTGCCGGGAGACGGATGGTAGGCGTGATGACAGCCGGTGATTTTTTAGGTCAACTGATTAACGATTTCGAGTTTAATGGTTTTGGTGTCGAGAACAAGGAATGCTTTTAACACACATCTGTGTCTGTAGATATTGGAGAAACGTTGAACGGGTCATGGTTGGGAGAATCCTTTAACTTCACTTCGAATGGATCGAAAGATTGGCCTTGGAATGGGATCACGATATTTCTATTATTTATAGGTCGTTGAAAATTAGCTTTCGAATATTTCAAAAGATCACAGATACAAGTTTCACGATTTCATTTGAACGGAGTGTACAGAGTAAGTGTAATTTGGTGACGAGAAAATTTAATGAATGTCGCATCGACTCATGTACTTGGATCGGTAGATATGATTTATTTGATAGGTTGCAAGTGTTACTAGGATCACGCTCTTAATGGAACTATAATATTCAGGCCAACGGAACCTGTTCTTAATCGGCGGAGAGTCATGAGACTTGAGTGAACGTGCTGTGTGCTCAGTAAACGATCCCCTCGCTTCCAGAGTATCGAACTTAACACGTTATTATCGGCTAATCTGTTCATTATTATGTTTGAAGTTCATCGGTTAACGGCATTAAAAGCTTTCCCCGTGGAACGATTTCTCAACTGCGTTACGGGAGTCATTCACGTTTATTGCGAATGGAAGTTTGTTTTAATGTTCGATGGTGGTGCCGGATATGGAATGCAACACCTCATATCGAAAGGGCGGACGTCAGCGCACTTTTAGCCTAGATGGCAAAACTGCCGGTGTACGATAATGGAAGACTTGTGTAAGAAAAAAACTGCAAGGTTGATAAGGCTAACTACGCCGATGAGGTAAAGAATTCGTGCCAAGCAAGAAAACCGATGGAAAGTAAACCTCGAAGTTTATATCAATTTAAACGTTCTCCAATCTTATCGAGTTTGAAGGTCCTAGAAAAACCGCGTTCAGTTTGTGCAGCGTGAAACAACACCATGTGAATATCTGCTCGTCTCCTATGAAACAATTTTGCAATCCTGACATAATCGTTGTATAAAATAAGACGCGGTCATAATTATAGCAATCTTCACAAAGGAGCGAATGTCCTCGTCCCTGTTTAATTGGTTCACGGAATTCAGGAAGGAAAGAAAGTAGAACAAATACGTGCTGCCTGAAGAATGATTGTTCCTCTAAAGACGACTTTTTAGTCGTCAGGTAAAAACAAAAAAAAAGGACTTTTTAGTCGTTAGGTAAAAAGAAAATATGTGCATTTTGTAGTCAACAATGCTATCGTTATCGAAGTAATTGCGTCCTTCTGTTATACTTTTTATTGCGTTCTATTGACTAGACTAAATTTACTTTTACGTACTACTGACAAATAAACAGTATTACTATAACTGATACCAAATGATTTTCGTTAAACACTTTTCACGTTTTTCCTTGAATGCTAGAAAATAATATTATACATTTCGACAAAAACTAGTAACAACGACAAATTTTACTATTATTGTCTGTTAATTGAGAAGTCGAATGGAAACGAAGTCAGTGAAAACGATCCTAGGCGAATTATCACGCTCCGTGTTCCAGCGTTGCGGATCTCCGCGGGATGATTCAATTCTACTCTAGTAAGCAGAGTCGTCGAGGAAAGTGTGCCGAGTGGAAAGACGTTCTGGATCGAGAATCTCGACCCTCCCTAATAAAATCTGTTACACGAGAACTACTCACTTGTAATCGAATATTTAAAATAAAATTGAATTCGAAATACCCTAATGTGTGTTATTTACAAGATTGATCAGGGACAACTTAGGTCGATTATGAAACCCAACGAAGCTGCGATACTTGCCTATACTTATCTATATTAGAGACTTTTAAGACGTTTCCCGTTTCTATTTTACTTCCTGTGTACTTGTCGTCTTAGGAAATTGTATGACAGCCGAGGACGAAGAAGTGTTACGGTTTCTCAACAGCATCTGTTTATGCACGGTCATGGGATCTAAGAACGATAAGTGAACGGTATATCCGCGTGGAACACGTTACATTCAATCGGAACTACCGATCGAATGATTGCTACTGTTACTTCGGATTAAGTGGCAGTTGGTGTTTTGTATAATAGACATTTGGATAACCGGATAGAGTAATTATTATAATGTACCATTTCAAGTTTAAGGAGGAACGTCACGCTTTCTCGTTTGGATTGTTTACACCGACAGGGATGATCTATCGTGTCAATAATTATTTTCTGTCTAATTAATACGAATATTTTGTGGAACCAGAATTCCAATCGCTCTATCAAAACTATTTTCTTCAACGTCGCACGATTCTGAGATTCATGTATAATTTGAGAATACGTCATAAAATTTCACTTAATTTGTATGCAGTTTTTTAAGAAATCGTCAAAAAGAGGTCACTTTATAAAATAACTTCGCCACGTTTTTTATTAATACGCAAAATCTCGTTGTTCAATGTTTATCACTTCTTACTTATACAGATTAATAGAATGTTTGGAATATTTGGAAAATCGACTTACGAGTGTTCGTCGAAATTGTCGTATCCCTCGGAATTGTCACGTATTCACACGGGGAGGAACTGATGATCCTCGGGATGCTCCGTACGGTTTGCGAGCTCACTACAGAATACCGAGATGCAAGAGCGTTCGTTCCACTTATCAAGTCTCCGCACCGCTTCATAAAACCGCGTCGACGAAATCCCCCACACGTGGCCACGTGCCCGGGATGCCGCCCCGTCTTTCCTGAAAGAAGGCACCAGTCCACTACACGACGACGTTCGGGTCACAAGACTTAGGCATCAAAGGTGAACATAAATTCCCCATGTAGTTCCAATATACATTATAGCAATCGATAATTAGGGTGAATAAACATTCGAAAGGTGGATACCGCAGAATTGAACTGTCATAGTTTTAAATCAGAAGCAATTTAATTTCGAGGTCTATGAACTCATTGTCGTTCGAACTATTTCCACATTTTTTTTTAGAATGCTAATTCGACATAGGAAATATTCCAAGGTTGCTTCGTTCGTTTTTATGAATAACTTGACGGATAATGCGTAAAACAGTGACTGAAGAACTGACGCAGTTTCCATAAGAAAAGAAGACATTGCGGAGCGTAAGTTGTTTTCAATCAAATGCTTAATGGCGTGTCAAAGTGCAGATGACACGTAGGCAATATCTTAAACAGGTGACCATTCATTGGCTGTTATTCTTGTTACCATGTATTATTATTTTTTGTCGAAACGCGCATTGAATGCTATGTAAAAGATGCTGCGATACATATTCATGCCTGCGAGTAATGAAAATCTTCTCCTACTCATGTAAAATCCACAATTTACCGCGAAGAGAACATCTTTTATTTCGTTCGTTATCGCAACGAATCGCACGTACGCTAAGAAGTTGAATAGACCGTCACACTATAAGACACACTTAGAGAGCATTTTAAATCCAATAATGATAAGCAAAATTGATCCGGAGACTTTGAACGGAAGAATCCAAATTTAATCCGTGACCTAACAATAATAATAATACGTGCTTGTGAATCTATTAATGCTCAGCAGAAACGAAAGGATTCACCGGAGTGTATAATGACCACGATTTATTATTCTAAATTATACAATCGTGACATTGTAGTTCCGATCGATTTCGTTCGATTCTTAGCCCGATTTTAGTAAACAGCCCTGTCTGCGATTCGAAGCCGTCACGGATCCAATTCCCGCGAGCTCCTGCGCATCTGCAAGTGTAAATACGGGTAAAACACTCGCGGTAAGTACGACTTGGACAGAAAAAGTGGAAGCAAAAAATTTCTGAATACGTTACAATTTTTCCATTTACACTGGTGTAATTAGACATGAAAGAAATCAATTATTCGCTATGGTTAGTATTTTCTGATTACTGATTCAAATCGTAGATTTATATATGCACATGAATAAGAAACCAGCAACACAGCAAAGTTACGGATAGCCAATAATCGGTTAAGAAATGAGATCGAAAGGTTAAAAACCGGATGTACCAACGTTCTTGTAACTTCCTCGCATTATCCGCAAATATGTGATATCCGGTGCATACATCAATCGATCATTCAATCAGCGACGTTAATTGCACTTTTATCATTTGGACGAATTAAAACTTTTTTACGATTCGAAATAAATTCAGGAGTGAAATGACGTTCGACAATGGAATTTTTAGATCTAAATATAATGTTAATGTAGAAACACCTGTTAAAAAGAGACACGTATTATAATTAAAAGCGAGACCGTCTCGATTTAATTACTTATTATTGATCTTTCAGCGCAATAGTGAGTAATATTATAATGCACGATGCACTTGATGCCATTGTAAAACGTTGGAACTAATTACAGTTGTATTAAGTACGGCATATTAATTTTAGACACAATCGGCATTTTAAAATGCACATATTCAGTTCTCCATTAAACCTGAGACCTGAACTATATTAAGTAGAATATTCTGTCGCGTATCGACAGTCTCATTTTAGATGACAGATGTGTGGTTTTATCTATTTCCTTGAAACAGTTCGCGAATGGAGAAAAGTAAGCGGGCAAACATTTGCCGGCGCAAACTTTCAGAGGATCAGCCAAGATTCCGGATAACTACGTGTTAAATTCGTCTGCAAGCGTGAGGTTTAACACGTAACTCTTATCGATCCTGCGTAGCTGGGGAATTCACATGATTACATTGTTCGTCAATATTATTCTTTATAAAAATGTCACAGACGTGTACACTCAGACGATACATAAAACAATTAGAAAGTAACAAGCTTCGAGATTAATTTTTAACCAGGCACTGGGTGGAAACCAACTTAGAAAAATTTCTAACAAAACTAGATTACGACAATTTGCAAATTGAAATCAACTAAGGTAACTTAGAAAAGTTTTTGATGATTAAAGCAAAAGGTAAAATTGTTTCTAGCAATTGCAGCATAAGAAAAAACATTAGAAAATTTAATTTTCATTTGACAAACTTAAACCAGGTACTGAGGATAGACGGACCAAAAATGGTTTCTAGTAATAATTAAAGCAAGTGTATAATAAAGTAACATTATAAAAATATGATGCGAAACGTGAGTAATGGAAGTGGCGGCTGACACCTGAATCTGGCATGACCTAGAATGCAAGGGATCAGGATATATGAAAATAATAGTTAATTGATATTGATTAATTGTAAGAGAATACGGAAAAGTATCCGAGAGATGACTATCTAAAATGTCGGTGTACAATATTTATGCATAAGATAGATAGCAGTGACCCTAAAAACTATTTATAAACCCAAACTGAAAGTAACTTTCAGACGACACCATAAAACCGTATTTATGAACCGTATTTCTCCTCGAATGATTGGAAATGCACTTATATTTAGTGAATCAATTAAGCAGATTTAAAAAACGATGTATTTCCTCGTTTTCCATTTCGTTTTCAAACTCCTTGACTCTGACCTGAAATCGTGCTGACCTACAATCTCGATTCTCCGGCAACATTCCCAATTCCGCTACAACTGGACATTTACCGGTTGGCAAAGAATAACAAAAAAGTGATCACATCGTCGAGAAGTTCTGTCCATCGGGTGCTCCAATTGTTGTTCAGTGAAGGATGAGAGGACCACGGTAACTTTCTCCTGTGATTGAATATAGTAAAACCTGTTCCAGCGCGACGATACACGACGCGATGGTCCGGTGTCGTTCACCGAGACGGAATACTTGACCGGGAAGAGGATGAAAAACGGAACGCTAAGCTTCATGGAGAGGTTCCGTTCTGAGATCGAACGAAACCAGCCAGGTAGACTTTCGAGTTGCCCGCGGGCGATTGTACGTTTCCTCTTGTCAAACGGTACCTACCGCTCGACCGTGTAGTACAGTGAGAGTCAAGAATTAGTATGCAGAGCTTTTCTTCTCCGAATTCACGAGCGGACGCCCGGTAAAACTACTTGTGCCAAAAAACAAGAAGTCGCTCCACTGAGTCGGTTGTAATCTTTGCTCTAACCCGGTTGCTTTTTACTGGACAAAGATTATGCTAGAGAATTTGAAAGTTGCAAATGTTACCGATTTGACGAAGAATGTTTGCAAGTAGCACAGTGCGAAATTTTGTGCCGGAATTCAATATTCATATACATCTCTATAAGAGATATACTTGCTTCACGAAAAAAATGCATTTTAGGATGAAAATTGTTACCATAATTATACATAATGTACTGTTAGAAACGATGTATATGGAAGTCTCCCAACGCAAGAAGGCAAGGCAACTAAATAAATAAATTAATTAATTAAATAATAAATTATATATTGTGTGTTATAATTAAATAAATTAAATAATAAATTATATATTGTGTGTTATAATAATATTATGTGTCTTTCTCATTTTTGCAACTGTCGTATGACTGACAACGACGAACCTTTATTACATAAACAAATGATACTGTTCTACCTGTTTTCACTAAGTCGCTTCGTCTTGGATTAAGCGTGTCAAACAATTTGCAAACTGAAGAGTAATCTAACGACGGTGGGAAACAGTGGACTGCGAAGTAGCCAATAATCAATGTTTGTTGGCAGTTTCACTTCTCTAACATTTACTCGTTATCGTAAACGTTCTTGACGAAACGTGCAAAATTGTGAATCTTTCAATTTTAATCAAATATTCTGCACAATGTGGATATTAATGAAAACGAATTATTACATTTCGTTAATCAAACGCACCTTATAATTATCCCAGATAGACAATGTACAGCAAATTTGTGACAAATTTACTGAACTCTGCGTCACGAAATGCAGCAATATTATGCGCTTTATGAGTGCTCACCTTGGCATTAAATTTAGGACACGTAATNCCTTTATTACATAAACAAATGATACTGTTCTACCTGTTTTCACTAAGTCGCTTCGTCTTGGATTAAGCGTGTCAAACAATTTGCAAACTGAAGAGTAATCTAACGACGGTGGGAAACAGTGGACTGCGAAGTAGCCAATAATCAATGTTTGTTGGCAGTTTCACTTCTCTAACATTTACTCGTTATCGTAAACGTTCTTGACGAAACGTGCAAAATTGTGAATCTTTCAATTTTAATCAAATATTCTGCACAATGTGGATATTAATGAAAACGAATTATTACATTTCGTTAATCAAACGCACCTTATAATCATGTGTTATCTTTACCGATCAATTGAAAAATTAGCCATATTTTCGCCTTTTAGATAAAATCGACGGAGTATGTTTACACTTTCGTTCGCCACTGTGTATTACTAATTTTTATTAGTTATTATTACAATGTTTAAGAATGAGAAGCTACGGCTGGCTACTGATGTGTGTAACAGGATTGCAATTATCAGCTACAGAAAACGTGTATCGTTGTAATACGTGATAAACAAACTTCTGAACTATCTCCTTTAGGAAAGTACACGGACGTGTGTAACCTCGGGCCTGCTTAATCGTGCGAATTTTTTCTCAGATAACTTTCTCTCGAAACAATGCAGATAAAGATCACGTACCGATAGATGCAGCGTGACTATCAGCGAGCTGCCCGATGATTTTCATTCATTTATCAAACGCGAGAGATTTACATAACGTGATGCGTGAGAAAGAACGAGAAATGAAAATTCTGCTAAATGTGAAACAAGCATTCTTTCATTTCCAGTGGATCTGCAATTGTTCCTGCTAAATATGTACTCTTAAACAATATTGTTGATGTACCTCGTTGCAAGAAAATCCAGTTTTAAATATTGTCCCACTGACTACGTCAGGTGAGATTTGTTCGACCATCGTTCAAACATTGGACAGTTCACAGGACACAACGTTTCGTATCGAATCGAGCACACAAATCACTTGTCCTGCGAAGTTTCACCCCTTGTCACCAATACTCTCGATGATCAAAAGAACTACCATTATGGACTTAAAAACTGGTACAACAATCAATGGACGAATCAGCATGAATCACTGCAGTTATTTATTACAACGATATTACGAAAACCAGGTTCCCGACTGTAACTTGTCACTGGGAGTAAAGTAAAAGTCGAAGAGACGCAACTTCATGGATTGTAGTCGACGAAAGAGACAGTGGCAGAAGCTTATTGGAATCGACAACGGACGTAACTGCGCTCTTTAAGCCAGGGGTTGCGGCCATTGAACCATCCCCTAGCGCAACTGCGATTCTCTGCCTCTCTCGACCTGCACTCTCCCTTCTCCCGGTCGTACCCAGCTACCCCTAGTTTCTTGCGTGCTGCCTGCCCGGATTCCACCATCCGAGTGCATGCGCAATTGCTACCGGGAGGAACAGGATCGTGATTGCCTTCTGTGAGAAAAAATACTTAACGTGAATTGTAGGGATACGTGTTCGGTCCTCCCGTGTGACTGGGGCTTCGATTGATCCGTCCAGTCGCTGCCGCCATTCTCGGATGCCATGAGAACTACGTCCTCTCGTCGAATCTGCTGATAATATTATGTGCACAATATAAAAAAGAAAAGTTATTATATTCATAAATTATTATATTATATATTCTATTAAATTTATTATTATTATGTCTCACGATCCTTGATCGAATGGCCAATCCTGGGAGTGGTCACTTAAAATCAGCAGTCATCCTCTTTAGATCATCCGAATGATCCTGCAGGATCATTGATAATCCACTGATTAATGTTCTGTGCAGAATACAAAAAAGAAAAGTTATATTATATATATTTTTAAACATTTAAATATTCTCAGATCCTTGCAATTTTAATTTATTATCTACGTAATCTAATTTTAGATTTATTATCCTATTTCACAATTCTTGATTGAGTGGCCATTAAAAAACAGTGGTCACCCCGTTTATGTCACCCATGCTTCACGATTATCGATAAACAGAGGAGGAGCAAATTTTTAAAATTAGAATCACACCCTCTCACAATCATCGAATGATTTTGTGCAAAAATCGGTTAATTAATTTTGATGAGGTACGGATGAACATACTATGAACCCGACGAGCGCGTTGTTCTGGTTCTTTGGTTGACGAAGGTCGATCATAATGCATCGACTCATCCATATTTTTTTATCTTACTTTGGTTTGAAACGTTTTGCGGTTTGCACCCGTACTTTGATTTGATTCTGATTCTGATTCTGGTTCATGAATATTCATGTCTTTCCGTTTGGTGACCGATATTCCTTTTTTACATTTACTCTTTCCTCTCATTCTTTCATTCCACTGTTGCCTAGAATCATGGTTTATCAAGCAATGAAAGATGAATAAAGAAGCTCGATTAATACTGTCAAGAACTAGAAGCAAACCTTGACCCATAGTTTCAAGACATAGAAGAAGTAAATGACAACTCGGCATGTAATTATCACGTATGCACGTATGATGCAAAATATTCCTAATACAAAGCGGATATGATTCACTTCATTCTTCCTTGAAATATAAGTAAGTTCATTTGAAAGTCTTCGCTTAGTACGTTGCATATGCTTATGAGTATAAATGTGCGTATGCGGTACTGCTCCATATTTTCGAATTACACTTTGAAACGAAGTGAATTTTAATTTCATTCTTCCCTCGAATCCATTTCAAACAATCAATTTTATTCACGCTAAATATACTCGTGAATAAAAGTCGTCATACATGTGAGATTTTCCATGTGTACTAACGGAATAAATTCAGATTCTAGTCAAACAGTTGACCAGGTCGTAGATCTTAGGTGGCCTGTCCTTCGTGTGGGACGGTAAAATTCCACAAGCGCTGTGCTTATGCATCTTCAAGGAGGTAATGAGTAATCAGTAAAATAGTACGTTCCCACGCAGGGACATGGTCGTCCTTGTATAAGACTGACGACCGAAATAGAATTTGACATTTTGCATTCTGCATAAATCTTAACTTGTTCAATATTCGCTTCGTATAAAGAAAAAGACAATTAAAATAAGAAGGGGGCAGTATGGATTGTTGATCGCTCGGGTCTCGTTCGTCATAATTCATTTCCAAAGTCCAATTTGTGGAAATGGTATCAAGCAAATAATCGTTGTCACCTTTCTTCATCTCTTTCTACTAGCTCATGATAGAAAGAGCTCTTCTATTTTCTTTTTCTATCTAAATAAGTGTACGGTACCACTTACACAAGAGCCTATGTCTTCCCTACTCTATCTATAATAACTCTATGGTTTAATCCATGATTTAATCCAGCACTATTCATGAACAGAGGACGTTCGAATCAGCATTCATTTCTCGTGTCGGTATGACAGTCAAACGTCCAAGTTAAAGGGGTAGACTCCGATATCGGCGCGATAAAGCAGAATGTCAATGTTAGTCACAAAATTTGCCAAAAATATGGGTTTAAGGGGCCATATTTTTCGTCCTTATATGAGAATATTTTTTGGTCGTCAGGTACCTCTTCAGAAAGAGGAAAATTAAATATGGCGCGAAATCAGAGCGAAAAATGTCAAAATGTTATCGATAAATGTTAGAAAAGTCACGTGACTACCCAAGCCTCTTAAGAGTTCATAAGGTAAAAGAAATGTCTTCTAGCATATCTTGATTGGACAGCCAGACTGTCCAGTGCTGCCTACACATCGTAGGTGGACAGTTTCTGTTGATACACGAGGTCTCTGTAAATTTACGCTTCGACAGAACTGTGGATCTGTTATTGTTATTGCAATGACTGACTCATTTTATGCGAATCCCCTGAACCCTGGACTCTACATACACAACTACAACAACGTTTATTATAATCGCACGTTATGTACGACATTTTTCGTAACGCTTGTTTTGCAGTTTCGTAGACTCGATCAGCGTGGAATTACTTTGCACTACCTTGATGTTAAAAATAGAACCGCTTATTACAAACTTATTAGAGGAGCATGACAATTTTTACATTTTGGCGTCACAAAAACGACGAGCCTTGGCGTATATGTTCATTTACGTTCCACAGAGTTTGCAGAGCACAACCTCTGAGTAAAAATGGATTTCGATGGTCATTTATGCGACTGTGAAGTTGAACATTGAAAATTGAACGTATAATTACTCATTGTTATTTCGCTCTCTAACGGTCTGTTCAAGATGTCTGTTCTAATCAAAGCTTGCCTCGTTTGCGCTCATGGTGACGCGCACGAAACAAGCCGGCTTTGTTCCACGAGGTGCGGCGGTTTGTCGCAAGAAACAGTGTTTATTCTACTTGGACCGCGGAAGGAACTGGCCACCTGACGTAATCACGCCGAGAGGAACCGGTGAATAATCCAAATCACACGTATTTGACGATTTGGAAATTAGTCCTTGAATGGTACTAGTTAAAAAATTGTTAATCTGTTAGTATATAGAATCAGTGAACAATTTATTTAATAAACTGGAGTGATGTGTTTATGACCAAGTATGTATAAATTTTCCATATTGTAAAAGAAGAATTCTTGATAATACTTTGAACGAAACGCGAGCAGTAGGTGATTCTAATCATGTTACGTAATCGTGGAAACACCTGCACGATTTTCCTCGAATGATTATAGCAGGTGTTACAATTTGTGTCTTAGTATATCGTATAATCTGATAATTCACGATTTCATTCTCATAGGGCATGAATCAAATAAATCAAAGAATTATCCATTTCATTCAATTATTATTATCACTATTGTCATCGTGAGTTTTAGTAATAGATACTATTAAGAATCATTGATTCCTAATCTGATAAAGACATTAGTAATAGTACTTACAAGTAAAAATTCCTGGAATAGATATAATGAATGTTTCGGTACAAGTTTTAATTTATTTTACAAGTTAGTATTTAATTAATAAATAGACTAGAACACTTTCTCGATCCTTCATTTCGAGATACTGAACAAAGCTAAAAATCAGATTAGTGATAATAATATTATCTGATAAGAAGTCTTTTTGGGGTTGAGGAATATTTAAAGGATCCAGCGACGAGCGATGACTGCGAAGAAAGAAGTATACCACTGTGGAAGATCGATCAGGTATGCTTCTCCTTCTGAATACCAAATACAATTAACAAGCTTCTTGAAACGTAACAAATTTCTTAATCACTTTCATCTTATGTGATTCTACTTAAAAAAAAAAATACGATTCTATTACTAAACTTTAGAAAAATGAATTTTTATTTAGCTGCAGATTTTTTAATTAACAGTTGGTGGATTAACAATTGATCATTAATTTTTTTTAATTTTAATCGATAATTGAATTTTAAATTTTATTCTTTAATCAAGATTTAAAATCAATTCGATTTTCTTCTAATTAAAGAATTCGTAACTAGTCGAGCTTAATTAAAAGCTAAACAACACACTAATAGCTAATTGGTGTTGAATTTAATTAGAGATTTAATCATTTATCGTAGACTTTATCCATACAAGTGTTATTGATCATAAAATTGACGTCTTGCAGAAAGATATCCAGTTCTTGAAAGAAGTTCATCTTGATTTGATCGTAAGTTTTTTAATTATGAATCAATTCAATAATTCAATTTCAAATTTTATTCTTTAATTAAGAATTCAAATTCAGTCGCTTATTCGGATTTTTTCTAGTTAAAGAATTCATTTGAATTAAAAATTGGACGATAATTGCTAATTGGTGTTGAATTGGATTAGAGATTTAATCATTTGTCGTGGACAATATTCATTTAAAAGTGTTATTGATCATAAAATTAACGTCTCGTAGAAAGCTTCCCAATTCAATCTTCTGTAAATATCTTATGATCACGGTGTTATGAAAGAGTGATTCACAAAACACCTGTTGCAAGATAAACATTTGTAGAAACGAGATTACGTGAAATGGGAGAGTTTTCAACGAATAGATAAGACGTGCTTAGAATAACAAACATTCCACTGTAAAAACATCTGAATCAGAATATTGGCGTGAGTAGGAAACATAGATCAGTTGTGTTTAATCAACCGTAAATTTTCCCAATTGTGAATGAAATTCTACAAAAAAAAAAGCTGGTCTTAGTTTACGCGACCTCCCCCGCACTTTCATACCCCAGTTCGATAACCCGGAAGTATTATTATGAAAATGATTAGTTTATCGAGCGTCAGAAACAAATGAAAAAAATGTTCTTCTCACAATACTCATTTATAGTAGTATACGTGCGCTCAAATGATTCATCTCTACGTGCGACAGTAGTGCATGACGTATTATTAAGTGTCATTAATATAATACAAGGTGTGCCAAGATTGGAATAACTCGGCGGCTTAGCTGCTCGAGGTAAATTCGTTGGTAACTCAATTTTCAAGGACGATGACGAATGTCCCCTTTCATGAATTTATTTTGGCACGTCTTGCTTTTAAAATAAGTCCAGAGAAAATCGTTAAACAATACCGAACGAGGGGGGAGGGATTGTTGGATCGATTTGCTAATCCAGGAAGCAGGAAATTTTGTGTCCAAATAAGTAATCGATAAAACATGAGCGTTGCATAACCCGTGAGTGTATAAAACGATATCTGAATAGATATATTCATTCAATCTTTCCGGATTGAGTTCAACGAAGCGGCGACAAACACCGGCGAAGTCGACGGTTCGACCGTGAACCGTGAATTCCCAACAATAAATTCTAATTAGAGGCCACAACGTTGGAAATAATAGGCGACTCTAAGCACAAAAACGACAGCCGGCGAATCGAAAAACGCGTAGTTATTACTGCCTCCTTACGTCATTCGATGATCTCGAGTCCCCCGTCAGAGATTCGTTCTCCGGCGAACGAACAAATCTGCAGATTTTCTCAACTTTGTACTTCCATTCAATTTCAATGAACTAATTTGATAATCATAATTGACGTCGCACCGATATTTCCACGAACGTGCGTAGAACAAAATCATTTCTTATCACCGTTCTTCGAAACGTTAAGCTGTTGAACACAGTAATTGCGATTGCCTCACGCCTTTTTATAACGTCCTACGTTAATCTCGTTGTCGCCGTGTACTTCCCAATTGCGACGCCTAACCACTATTAAGAGTAGCATTCTTCGCTCAGTTTACAATTTGCTAATTTAAAATTATAACATTTGTACCAATTTTCCACGATATTAAAAGTAGTTCTCAAAATAAAAAGAATACAAATGTTTGCCTAGGAAATTATGAAACGTCCCACGGAAGATTTTTGATAATCAGAAAAAATATCATCTGTATGCTAATTTGGACATCGAATGTGGAGTCTATAAAAAATTCTCGTGGAATTTTTGGCTACCTATATTGTACTTATTTAGCGAGAAGCTTTCTAGGCAAACGCGTTTTAGTTTGGGGCGAATACAACCCCTGTGGAGTAAGAATATTGCTCCCATTCCCTGCGTCCTCAGACACGTGGCGCCAGTCCTCTCATATTACCTTTCCTTTATTGGGCACTCGTCATCGATCCTCGCTAATCGCAACACGAAATTCATGTCAGAATTTTCATTTCTCCCAACAGAAGGTTCAAGATTCGTAAATAAATGAGAAACTTCGTCGAAAAATAGGAAGGGAACTAATCTCGTGGGATCGACGATGAATATCTGAAGATAAATAGTTTTTATCAACGGGCGTCGCGATACCAGAACACAGTCAGTGGCATTTCCAATCGATAGATAGTATCCTTTAACATCGACTACGAGCTGCGAGTCAGTCAGCGTTCCCCTTGCCATTGTCAGACCGATACTCTTGAGTGATAGATCGATCCAATACGAATAGCAAATGAGAAAGAAAATTACGTCGAGAGAATACAAATAGCAATTCGCGACTGGCAATTCCATTTACTTGGAAAACAGTTTCCGATAATTGGATGCGAATTCCATTTGTCTGTTTGACAATTTCTATTGAGCGAAAGAAATTTAGTACTTGTTGTTACAGGGACAGTTATATAGTGTTGTGATAAGTGGCATTCTACTGAAATCCGTCGAGGAGAGGTAAAATGCAAAAGACGCTGTTGGATTTAATATAAAAGTCGATACACCGAGTACAGATTCTTCGAAGTAAAATGACACCCGACAAGGAACGCGTTACACCCACGGTGTACAATGCGTTGGACGAAGAGGTCAAACAGAATGGGTCGAAGGATAGTAAATTGACGGAAACGGAAGACTTTTTGGTAGTGGATAAAACTTATCGTGCTGGCAATAGTACGGAATACGTGCCTCGTATCGCGTGGCCAGATCTAATGGCACAAGTCTTCCTTCACGTTGGCTTTATTTATGGATTTTACCTTATCTTCACAGAAGCTAAGCTCTTTACCACTCTCTGGGGTAAGTACAACGAAAATATGTCTAAAATACATAGAATGCGCGGCTAATACTTTCTTAAGGTTGTATGAACCGTCTCTGTCAATTTAGTTTGAAAAAAAAAGAGCTGTAATAAATGACAAAATTTCGTTTCAAAAGTTTATGTACTTTAGAAAAACGCATTTCCTATAATTAAAAAAAAATCAGACGTCGGAAGAACAATGCTAATAATAAATAGCTACGTGCTAAAAAGTATAGAAGGAAATATTCAATTAATTATTGATGCTGGCGAAAAGCTTTCTATACAGAAATTTTAGGCACTGACATATT